CATAGATTTTACAATTTTCTTTCCTTCCACCACAGCACTGCAGGCAGAACACAATGATCACTGCTGGCAACTACAGCTACCGGCATTGATCGCATGAAAAGAAAAAATCCTAAACTGGTTGTACTGAAGTCGATCAATGGATAAACTTCAATACAACCAGACTGCCTATAGATGGAATGAATCTTAGCTGGTTCCCTCCTGAGCCGAGATTTGATCCATCTATGGCCTGCTTTAGGCAGCAGAATCCCGACTTGGTGAGCGTAGGAAACAGTCTGTACACAATGGTGTATGACCAACTTATCAGTGTCAACACAACATACTGTAAAAGCAAACACAGAAACGCCACAGCGGATGCATGCTGGAAAGGTTCTATTCATAGAAGTTCTTCCTTTATAACCCTACAGTTGTATGCATACAGCCTTAACCTTCCTAGCGGTATGATTATTTCAGATTTTTGGTGCTGAAAGCGGTAACATTATTTTGCATGGAAATTTGGCGTTTTATATTGTAAGCCTGTAATATTTAGGAATAACTCACTGAAATCTGTCCGAGCAAGAGTCTAGTAAACATCCCGGGTATGTTAAAATTTGAAACACAAAATCATAAATTATAATTTAATAAATAATCATAAAACGTAATAATATAATAATAATAAATTGAATTCAATAATATAATCAAACCAAAAACACTGAAATTTGAAATATAGCGCCAAGTTCGCACATCACTGATCTTAGTCGCAGAATCGTTTTCAGTGTCTGATGACGAATTTCCCCACGAATCATTATCACTCAATTCTGCAAGTGGTTCTGATTTACTATCGCTGTTCTCTAGCTGATCTAAAACGGCTTTTGACCTAAATGGACGCTTTTTGGACGCCATGGACATTTCTCAGTTTCCAGGCAGAAAGAACAGTAAAAATGCAGGCAGGGCACAGGACAAAGCACTCGGGACAAAATGTATGTGAAATGGTTTGATACAGTAATGTTTTACTATGTGATTTTAGTGTAGTTAGTGAATGTCACTTTTTATTATTTTCAAATTTCCCGCCGTTCTGTCCCCCGTACGTCCCGACGTCGCAGGGGGCGGAACCCAGATGACAGATGCCGGCATCAGCTGGATTACATTGCCGGGGACACTGCAGGAGGGACATCGCGGGAGCGCAGGACAAGGTAGGTGATCGAGGGATACCGGAGCAGCGTCGCATGGTAAGCCCGAGTGTAGCTCGGGGTTACCGCTTGTGGTGCCGAAACTTTACCCCGAGCTACACTCAGGAATACGAGGAGGTTAAAGGTTAACCCCCCCTTTTGTATCATGCTACATCTGTATTTAGGGTGTAACATGGTGCAAAAGGGGCACCCCCCCCAAACCCCACTCTTAGTCCGTTGACCCTCCCACCAGCTCTTCAACTGAAAGCCTGCACTGAGACATGGACAGAGAATTGGAGAAGCCTGGCATTGAACTCACTATCCACTGATCACGGGGCCATGGGTGTTTTTTTTTTTTTTTAAGTGGACTTAGCTTTTAACTATTTGCCCTGCAGAGGATTTACCCCCCCCCCCCCCCCCCGACCAGGTCATTTTTTGCGATACGATGCTGCATTATTTTATCTGACAATTACATCCTTTTTCCCACAAATAGAGCTTTCCTTCGGTGGTATTTGATCGCCTGTGCGATTTTTTATTTTTCGTGCTATAAACAAAAAACCCTGCAAATTTTGAGAAAAAAAAAAACATTTTTGACTTAAGAGAAAAAAATAAAATTTCATCATAAATTTAGGCCAAAATGTATTCTGCTACATATGCTAAATACTGTATGTGCATTCTGCTACATATTTCCTAAAATAAAATCCCAGTAACTGGAAAATAATTTGTTTACGTTAAAGTTGTAGTGTTTACAAATGGCGGTATATATACTGGATTTCTTTTTTTTTTTTTTAAACTAGTAATGGCCATGATCTGCAACTTATAGCGGGACTGCGGCGGGCATTCTGACACTGGGGGAAACTAACAGTGTCACTGACATCCCCAGTGACACCAATACACTGATCAGTGCTAATAAAAAGCACTGACACTATACTAATGGCACTGGGCAGGAAGGGGTTAACATCTGGGGCGAGCAGAGGGTTAACTGTGTGCGTTTTACTATTCTGTCTGTGCTTTCCACTGTAAGCACACTGTTTTGTATGGCTCTGCTATGCAATCTACTTGTCCTGGCACAATAGTGGGCTGGGTGGAAGCAATCAAGCGGCAGTGCAGCCGCCTGAATGAATGCTTCCACCTGACAGGTGAGCCCTGCTGCTTGCCCGCAGCAGGGCTAAAGTTTTAAAAAAAACTACCTACCCGGCGCCCGCAACTACATGTCCTGGGCATCGGGCAATATGAAGTGAACATCCCTGCGGTATCACCTAGATCTTCCCTTCTTAGCCTTACTGGCCCTGGTCCACCCCCAGCATTCATTGGATTTCAGTTCTTTCAATTATAGAGGCTCAGCATCACATGCAGACGTTACCTAGAGAGGTCTGCTTAGGAATATCCGCTCCTCCACACTGACATCCATCCAACAAGGAGTTCTGAAATTTGCATAACTCCTCCCAAGAGTCGGCCCACTGTTTGCATTAGGGCCGAGGGCTCTTGGGGGGAGTACTGTACCAGTGTGCCATGATCATTGGCGGACTAACCATTTGGAAACTCGGGCACTGCCTGAGGGGCCCGGGGTCAGTAGGGGTCCCATGAGATGCCCCTGGCACCTTTTTCATAGGCTTTTCTGAGTTTGGGCAAGGACACAGGGGCCCCATGATCCCCTATTGCCTGGGGGCCCCATGAGTTGTCAGTCCGCCCCTGGCCATGATGATCTCAGGAGACTTTATACAACACCCTGCCAGCTCTGCCCACAAGTCATGATCTGTCTGCATTGCTTAGAGAGGCACAGAGACCCAGTGATGATGTCACGGGGTCTAAAAAAACTGATGAAAACAGAAAGGTTTTATTTAAAAAACAAATTAGTATATTGAACAGAAGATAAACTGGGACCCAGAAAGGACAAAATATAACCAGATTACACTTGAGTTTAAAAGTGCATGTACAGGTTTTCTTCTAGTTTGGAGATGAGTAAGGGATGAAAAGAACCCTTTCAAGTTTTTATTATAGCCGCAAAATAATGCAAGAAAATGCAGCCTTTATCAGCAGGAGAACAGCGGAGGCTTTGTTCAATTTTAATCCTTAGTTACGTGTCACAATAGCACCTTTATAGCAGAAATCCACTGCAGCTACAAATCTCTCTGATGTGTTATAAAGTTGATGATGTAACTGTCTACATTATGTCTCTGCTCAGCTACAAATCTTTTTTGCTCCCTGACCATCAGCAGTTATATGGATTACATGAGCAGCTCCTGAATCCTGTGTCCAATGCTGAATAAAAGTTTATATGTCAGTAGCTGAGCTACAATTTGCTTGGAATCTCTAAGGACTCATTTACATCATTTGGCAAGAACGTTTTCAAACCTTTTTTTGGCATCAGTTTTTTTTTTTTTTTTGCATTTACATGCGTTTCCAGTACATTAACATGTGTTTCAGTGCAAAATAAATGCAGCATGCTGAACTTTTTTACACTTGTCAAAGCACCACAATAGCTTAAACTAGGCTCATTGATATATATTAATTTTTTGTTCATATGTATTCATACTGCAGAATTCATACTACATCATGTCATCAGGGCTGGAACCTTGTTACTGGAACCTGTAGTAGGCCCACAAATGTTAATGTTTATATATACAGGTGAAACTCGAAAAATTAGAATATCGTGCAAAAGTTCATTTATTTCAGTAATGCAACTTAAAAGGTGAAACTAATATATGAGATAGACTCATTACATGCAAAGCAAGATAGTTCAAGCCGTGATTTGTCATAATTGTGATGATTATGGCTTACAGCTCATGAAAACCCCAAATCCACAATCTCAGAGAATTAGAATATTACATGCAATCAATAAAACAAGGATTGTACATAGAAACAATATCGGACCTCTGAAAAGTATAAGCATGCATATGCACTCAATACTTGGTTTGGGCCCTTTTTGCAGCAATTACTGCCTCAATGCGGCGTGGCATGGAAGCTATCAGCCTGTGGCACTGCTGAGGTGTTATGGAAGATCAGGATGCTTCAATAGCGGCATTCAGCTCTTCTGCATTGTTCGGTCTCATGTCTCTCATCTTTCTCTTGGCAATGCCCCATAGATTCTCTATGGGGTTCAGGTCAGGCGAGTTTGCTGGCCAATCAAGCAGAGTAATCTCACGGTCATTGAACCAGGTTTTGGGTGCTTTTGGCAGTGTGGGCAGGTGACAAGTCCTGCTGGAAAATGAAGTCAGCATCCCCATAAAGCTCGTCTGTGGAAGGAAGCATGAAGTGGTCCAAAATCTCCTGGTAGACGGCTGCGTTGACCCTGGACTTAATGAAGCACAGTGAACCAACACCAGCAGATGACATGGCTCCCCAAATCAACACTGACTGTGGAACCTTCACACTGGACTTCAAGCATCTTGCAGTGTGTGCCTCTCCATTCTTCCTCCATATTCTGGGTCCTTGGTTTCCAAATGAAATGCAAAAGTTGCTCTCATCAGAAAAGAGGACTTTGGACCACTGAGTAGCAGACCAGGTCTGTTTTTCTTTAGCCCAGGTAAGACGCTTCTGATGTTTGTTGTTCAGGAGCGGCTTGACAAGAGGAATATGACATTTGAAGGCCATGTCCAGGATCCGTCTGTGTGTGGTGGCTCTTGATGCACTGACTCCAGCCTCAGTCCACTCCTTGTGAAAGTCCCCAACACTTTTGAATGGCCTTTTCCTGACAATCCTCTCCAGGCTGCGGTCATTCCTGCTACAAAGTTGGGAGCATGAAATTGTCCAAAATGTCTTGATATGCTGGCACTTTAGGAGTTCCCTTTACTAGAACTAAGGGGTCAAGTCCAACTCCTTAAAAACAACCCCACACCATAATCCCCCTCCACCAAACTTTGCACTTGGCACAATGAAGTCAGACAAGCACCATTCTGGCAACTGCCAAACCCAGACACGTCCATCGGATTGCCAGACAGAGAAGAGTGATTTGTCACTCCAGAGGACACGTCTCCACTGCTCTAGAGTCCAGTGGCAGCGTGCTTTACACCACTGCATCTGACGCTTGGATGCAGCTGCTTGGCCCTGGAAACCCATTCCATGAAGCTCTCTATGCACTGTTGTTGTGCTAATCTGAAGGCCACACGAAGTATGGAGGTCTTTAGCTATTGACTCTGCAGACTGTTGGTGACTTCTGCGCACTATGTGCTCCATGATGTGCTCACCCCGCTCTGTCATTTTACGTGGCCTTCCACTTGGTGGCCGAGCTGCTGCTGTTCCCAGTTGCTTCCACTTTGTTATAATATCACTAACAGTTGACCGTGGAATATTTAGTAGCAGGGAAATTTCACGTATGGACTTATTGCACAGGTGGCAACCTATCACGGTATCACGCTTGAATTCACTGAGCTCCTGAGAGCGACCCATTCTTTCACAAATGTTTGTAGAAGCAGTATGCATGCCTAGGTGATGATTTTATACACCTGGGGCCATGGAAGTGGTTGGAACACCTGAATCTAATGACTTGGAGGGGTGTCCCAATATTTTTGGCAATATTGTATGTGTGTATATATATATATATATTTTTTTTTTTTTACACAAAATATTTCCTTATTTTGACTTGATTATATCATAGCTTAGAATATTGTGACACATAAACCATTTTATACAAGATTGCTAGTTTTAACAATTCCACCAATAAGCCACCTCTGTGCCTCTATAAGTATCATGCACATGGAGGTTTGCAGCCTCAAATGTACTCTAAACGTAAATGTTATAAAATTATGAAAAAAAGGAGACAAAAAGCTAAAAAGTGGGAACTTTAAAGCGGAGTTCCACCTGAAAAAAAAAAAAAAAAAAAGTCAGCAGCTACAAAAACTGTAGCTGCTGACTTTTAATATACAGCCACTTACCTGTCCCTCGGTCCCGCGGTGTCCTCCCCACGGCTTGGTTTCACCGGCTGTCTTCTCTCCCTGGCGCCGGCATCTTCAGTGTGGGCACCCAGCTGTGACAGCTTGCAGCTTCAGAGCCAGGTGCCCACTGCGCATGCGCGAGAAGTGCTGCGCTTTGTGATTGGCCCCGTAGTCTTCTGGGACCTGTCATGTGTCCCACAAGACTACAGGGAGGGAGGGGGGATGACAACTTCCACTTTCGATCACAGCCTAGGCGATCACAGCGGAAGAGGGAGCGGGTACCCGTCAAATTCGGGTACCCGCTCCCCAAAGGTGCCAATCCTTATCAGGGAGTGGGGGACAAAGGCTTAAAGCAGAACTTCCCCTTTTGGGACTTTACCCACAACAACTTAATAAAAAAGAATGTTCTTTAGCAAGGAACATACATTCCGCATTAATAATAATACTACCAAAATTAGAGTGTGCTATAAATTGTCTCCAGCATTTTTACTGCTTCTTCTTGCTGGAGACTTCCATTTTGTTGAAGCCGAGAGCCACTGAGCAGCAGTAAATCTTGAGGTATCAGCAGATCGGCCTCTACATTTTCAACACAGTGCCAAAAGATAGATGGCAACTAAGCATGTGCACAGCAGGGTGAGACATTGTATTGCTCGATTTTAAAGTTCCACGCCAAATACACACATATACCAAGTCCCCGCACAGATCTTCCATACACATGGGAGCCAAAACAAAGGGGGGGGGGGGCAACTTCCTGCCTAAAATCACGTGCGCATGTCCTCTTCAAGTGTAAACTTCCCAGCATTTTCCCATGCCTTGGGGGAGCCGCAGGTGGCGCAATCAGCAAGCCACAGCAGTGAATGGATGGATGGTGTGTGCAAATGTAGCCCCTCTTGCATCTGTGCTTAAAGTGTTACTAAACCCCGGACCCTGCATTCACTATATCCTGTCTCTCACAATACAAAAAACATGGAAGTGCAATTGTTTTAGTAAATATAAACTGTTAAATACCTTTTCTCATCAGCAGAATATAGCAGTCTTATGACTTCTATCAGTGTCCAGCCGAGCACATGTTAAAGCTTGTACAAAGTTTTTATTCTGCTCTAGGAGGATGCAGAACCCATGCTCTCTGTCTGGACAGCACTGATTGGCCCTGTGCTGATCACATGCACTCTCCCAAGAGATAAAAAAAAACCTCTCGAATACACACCAAACTGAGCATGTGCAGAGTGTCTCCACAAGATATGTCTTATCAGTAGAGAAGAGGGAGATACTGGAAAAAGGAGAGGATCAGAGAAGTCAGGATCAAACAGCATTTTTACAGGATGCAGAGGATTAACCCCTTAAGTTCCACAGTAAGTATAACCAGCATGCTTTACTGACTGATTTTTTTTTGTTGTGGGCTTAGTAACACTTTAATTCACCAAAAAAAAACCCCTGAGGGCCTGGTTCACACCATTGTGTTTTATGTGCATTTGGAAATGCACAAAAAGTTGTGTTATAAACATCATCCACTGAATCCCAATGAGGCTGTTCACATCTTTGCTTAAAAAAATAAACAAATGGGCATGTCTGCTTTTCTGCGTTATTTCAAGCACTGTAATGCAACAGAATAATGAAAATGCATGAAAACGCATGTTAACAAACGACTGAAACCATCGACAAAAGCGGACACCGATACATGTGAACGTGGCCTAAAGGCTGGTCTCCACTACTGGCAATTAGGGTCGTTTTGGGTGCAACAATGCAACAGTACCCATGGGCAGCATTGCGGGGTGTCACAAAAACATGCTGCATTTGCAGTGGCAACAAGAACAAGGGGCAACCTTTCAAATTCCCAAAAAAAGGTGTACATATGCTTAACCTCTTCCCGCCGGCACCTCCCGGCCCTTTAAGAGCTTCAGACGCCAGGAGCGGCGTGGTTTAGGGATCATGTGACCGCCGTGACATGTCATCACGGCGGTCACATGATCGGGAAAGGTCCCAATTGAAAGAGCAGACTGGGACCTTTCAGTGAGTACCGCACACGTGTGCTGGGAGCGCACAGGGCATGCGCTCTCAGCACATATATTTTTTGTTACATGGGTCCAGACGCCGGGAGGCCGAACATTTGTGTGCGGCCGGCGTAAAGGGGTTAAACACATTTTCAAAGCACTTGTGAGGGCCAGTTCACACTACATGCGTTTCAGTTGCTTTTTTTCTGCATCCAAAACGCACAGAAAGTAGGTGATATGGTTGTCAATGTCATAGTTCACATCAGTGCTTGAAGTGCCAGTGCGTTCCGTAGCAGAAAGAAAAAGTAGAACAGGCTGCATTTTTTCTGCACAGAACTGCACTGGAATGCGGTAAAACACATCAGAAATGCACTTGAACGCACTAAAAACGTGCTGGACTGCACATGTCCCTATTTAAATTGAGGGCCAGTTCACACTACATGCGTTTCAATTGCTTTTTTTTCTGCGTCCAAAACGCACAGAAATGTACCGGAATGCACTGGAACGTACCAAAAATGTCCCTATTTAAATTGCAGAAAAAGAGGTAGAAAAATGCACGGGAATGCATGAAAAATGCACTGGAATGCAAAAATTGCGTAAACAATGTGCATGTGGAAACACATCTGGACTGCGTTTCTATAGTGTGAAGCAGCCCTGAGTGTTAATATTGAGCATTTTTTATCCAGCATTTTTTTTTTCTATTGTTTTTTTTTTTTTTCAGCTCCAAGTGTGCATGGAGCCTGAATATGAAGTGCAAAACAGCTGCAGACACAAACTTCCGGATATTCAGGAACTAAGACACACGACTGTACAGATATGAGTCAACTGCAAAGAGAAAGTTCCTTTCAGCCAATTAATGATTTACAAACGGTCAGCCAGAGGAAGCCTGGAGAGGGCAGAGTGCCCATAGAATGATGAATGATTCCTGACTTGACAGTAAGGCTCCATGTATTCGGGGCATTTTAATAAAGCTGGTAGCTGTGTAAAGTCGCATTAACGCATGTTTTTCAGCGTTTTTGCTCCAAAAAGGTCCAAAAATGCCAGTTTACTGCGATTTCCAGCGTTTTTACAGCTAAAAAAAAAACTTCTCTAGAAACACACTAGTTCTGGGTTTTTTTCCAGCCAAAAACCGTTGCTTACAGTCTGTGTGCATGGACACATAGGATAACATGCTGGGGGGTTTACTGGCTGCAGAAAAAACCGCCAGAAGCCAAAAACAGCCACTGTAAAAACGTCCCGTGTGCATGAGGACTTAGGCAGGCCATACATGAGTCAAAATTCAACCGATTTTTTTTTGTCCGAAAATAGTACCTAAGAATAATCAGTCGATTTTTGCTGTTAGCGGGTCAATGGCACCAGCAAATTTTCGTGGTTCCTCCCCTTTTTGGTGATCGAGCATGTTGGAAAATTAGTGAAAAACGACCGATTTTCGACTCAATGATGGTCCAAGCGTACGATCATTTTTTGAAAAAGGAATATGCGCATGAGCCGTCAGCTGAAAGGAACAGAAGTTTCGCCTGTTATATGGGGTGAACTTTATGATTTGGTCAGCCGATTTTCGAAATCATTGATAGTACCATCTGATTGTTTTCAATTTTCAGACGAAAAATCGTTCGGAATTCGAACCATGTATGGCCTGCATAAGGCTACTTTCACACTGATCAGCCGCAAAAACACAGCAAAAATGCACAGGCGCTTTTACTGCACTATTGCTTCGCATTCTGAGCGTTTTTAAAGGACACGTGACTTAAAAACTGCACCTAAAAACACTTCCAGAGGAGTTTTTGGGGCATTTTTTTTTTTTAACTTCACCAACATGCCCCAAAAATTCTGCAAAGGAGTTTTTACACCGCAAGTGCAACACCTCAAACACACAGATATACATTTACATACACAGAGAAGCATTTTTCTTGAGCTTTTCAGGCATTTTTTTAATGCAAAAACGCTTCAAACACTCCTCAGTGTGAAAGTAGCCTAAGGCTACTCTCACACTGATCTGCCACAAAAATGCATAGGTGTTTTTACCGTGCTGAGCATTTTTTAGAAGACACGTGACTTAAAAACAGCACCAAAGCGATTCTCAGAGGCATTTTTTTCAGGCTTTTTCCATTCATTTCAATGGGAAAAGGCGTTTTTTTTTTTTTTGGTTACTCACCAAATATGCCCCAAAGACGCTGCAAGTTTTTAGGCTACTTTCACACTGATCCGCCACAAACTTTTCCCCCCCTTCCCCTCTTCCCCCCTCCCCCCCCCCCCCCTCCCCCAATGCATAGGTGTTTTTACCGTGCTGAGCGTTTTTTAAAAGACACGCGACTTAAAATCTGCACCAAAACACTTCTCAGAGGCATTTTTTTCAGGCATTGTCCATTGATTTTAATGGGAAAAGGCGTTTTTTTTTTTTTATTCACCAAACATACCCCAAAGACGCTGCAAGCAGCAGTTTTTAGGCTACTTTCACACTGATCTGCCGCAAAAAACGCAGTAGAAACGTATAGGCGTTTTTGCTGCACTTTCTGAGTGGTTTTAAAGGACGTGACTTAAAACTGCTTTTCAGCGTTTTTTTCAGGC